GTAACACTGTTACTGTGTGTTACTGTGTTACCGTGTGTTACAGTAACACACAGTAACACTGTTACTGTGTGTTACTGTGTTACAGTAACACAGTTCTCAGAGTGACAGGGTGAAAACAGACGAGCTGGATTCTTCTCTGTTTGATTTCTTTTATTACATTGAATAAAACATTGGAGTTGTCAACTGCAGCTCTTCTATTATAGCAGCAACATATGTGAATGAAATCAGGTTATTCTGCCAGGCAATAAATAATCTGCTTCTTTGGATGATGTCAAAGCTGCAGCGTTAACATTTACTTTACACAACCTATAAACACACACAGACAAGTGTGAGCTGTATATGTATTTGTGTGTTTAGGTGATACTTTGCCTATAAAAATACAACAGTAGTTTGTAAGATAAATGTAAAAGTAAAAAAAAAAGTAAAATATGAAGAACATTAAGAATTTGCAACGAGTCGATCGTCGTCACAGGATGCTGTTTTTAAACGTGGCTGGATGCAGCTCACTGCTATCAGCTTCCCAGCATCAGCGTAACCTCCCAACACAACTCAGTCTGTGGACGCTCACACGCAGGTGAGCGCGCGGGGGGTGGGGGGGAGGGGCTATATTAAAGGCAAAGACTACAAAAGTCACAGTACAAGAAAATATATGAAGCTATAAAGTACAACAAGGCACACACATGCCAACTGTTCAGCTACACGGGATACTTTGTACAAACGATACAGAGAGAGTAAGGAGGTCTGTAGCACCTTAAGGAGCTTTAGAAGATGTTAGCAGCTTGATCCAATACCAAAATATATTGCAGTGTTTTTTCATAACATTCAATAAAGTTCACTGGTACCATTGAAGCTTATAAAGAAGTTTGAATTGGTCTGTGCCTCTCATTGAAGAGCAGCTCCTGCCTCAGCACGTGCACGCACACACACACACACACACACACACACACACACACACACACTAAAATACTTGTAATCAGCTTCGATCCACTGTTATTGCTTCTCTGTCCAGTCCAGAAGAGTTTTACATCACAGGTGTAGCTGCAGCTTTCAGACAGAGACCACGAGGAGATCAAGTAACGGACCACACCGAGGTGTAAAAATGACAGAAGAGGACACACTCATGGAGTTACTGGACACGTCTTATTTTTGGAACATCTAAACACTCTGCGACACAGTGATAGTATTAAGTAGCTTCGTTTCAGCTTCACTACACTCTGACGTAAAGCAGCGTACAAACGGTCAAACGAGACCAATTAAACAAAGCTGTGAAGCAAGAGGCCTCAATGAGAAACACAGAGCAATTGTGCAAGTAAAGCAAAAATGACACTTTATAGGAAAAACACTGTCAAAAATTGTACCTGCAAAAATAAAACATTTATATTGTATTTACATGTTATTGTTCTCTAACAGAGCTAAATATAGAATCTATACATTTGTAATAAAAGACTCGATGCTGCAGGAAATAAACGCATCCCATTTACAAAAAGTGCTAATAAAAAAATAGCGGCTTGCTAACATCTCTTGTGAAACCACAAACATTCACAAGATCCAAAGAGCAAACTTCCATAAAGGCTGGGAACATTCAGAATTCCACGTTTCACACAACCTACAAAAATATGGTTTCCATTGGTGTTCGTCTCTGCTCACTCACAAAGGAGACTTTCTGTCATTATTCGCAGAGTTTTGGAGCTCAAAGAAGAAAAGTGAGGTAAATTATAACACTATTGGGTTATACAGGCCTCAGGCGAGTCACCACACGTGTGTGTGGAAACCTATGTGGTGGGAGGGAAGTGACGACTCAGTTTCTGTGAAATTCACATTTTCTGTAGAGTGTGCAGCCCAGCAGCTCTCCAAAGGGGATCAGGTGTCCAAACAGGTTCACTGGATGAAATAAGATTTGTTTGTGGCTGTCAGCCCCCTGCAGGGCATGGACACAGCTACACGGAGTCGAACCACACAAGAACGTGACGCTATCGCACTAAATCTGATCTATTCACCTTCAGGGCAGGTGTGGCTGACGCTCGTGGTGAAAGCAACAAACATGAAGCAGACTCGTCACTCTGTACTGTAACTGCAGATACCAGAGTTTAAAAAAGACCAAAATGAAAAACAACTCATATCCAGCTACAAGAAATATGAAACAACACATTTATACCTTCTCCACAGCGATGAGCATGAACCATCGTTACCTTGGAAACAGCAGTTTCAACAAGACTCGACGCTTGTTTAGGAGATTCTGTGTGGGGTGGGAACACTTCCCCATCTGTCAGTTTGCTGTGGCCCATCCACCAGACTGTGGTGACAGAGTAACATACGAGCTACGAGGTTTGGATATGTCAATTTAGCCAAGGGCACAAATACACAGGCTTTATTCAAACACACACTCCCCCATTAATCAGAAACATGTCCATGAAGAAGAAATCTTCATTCACATGAAAACACCTCAGAGAAACTCTGTCAAAGTGACGAGTGGTGACGTACCCCAACCCCACAGTGTTTCTCTGTCTACACATCACCACTCTAACTGGAACCAGTACGCCATGGCTGCACGGTGCTTCCTTCATACTGGACACAAACATGGAGCGCACTGCCAGCTATGTTCCACACCATCAATGCATTCATGCAGATGGAGAGAAAATATGTTCGTGAATCAACTCCATACTCAGTTATGTACAAAGGCCAAAACTCAGAAATCCAACCGAGACCATCGTCTTTGGGACTTCACGTCCAGGAAATGAAGATGAGCCTGTATGTCTGCAGATCTACAGTTTCAGTCAGACATGAATGATTCCTGAAGGAAATCAAGAATTACAGATGTTTACGCCCGGCCACTGAAGTCTGCCAGCAGCACGAGTTCATGCTGTCACAGAGTTACTGTTACAGTCCTACACCGTGATGCTTCAATGTGTGACTACAAGCTGGCACAAGGTGAGCTCTTATCCATTTGTCAAGATCTTTAAGCATCTTTCACTCCAAAGGTCAAGAGAAGCAACAGCTAACACGGACCACGATGCATCAGCTGTGTCTGATTTATATGAACACTTGTTGTTCAGCTGAGATCTGATGCTGTTCTGAACCCTGTCACGAGAACGAGCCGATTCAGGCACCTGAGGCAGAGCTGCCACTCACTGCTGCTTCTGACCGAGCATCAGCCACATCAGCCCGAAAGAATTTAAAGAAACCACATTTCAATAAAAAACAATCCAAAATCTTTAAAATTAAAGATCCAAAAACACTCAGTGTGTTAACATCTACCAATTTGACTTTCTTTGTCCAGGATTTGAGGTTTCTACATAAATGAAAAGCACTGTGTGGATGAACTGTGACATCTGTGACGTCAAGGACCAGAGCTGTGAATCCTTGAACGGTCATACGGGAGCAGAACTGTTTCAGTCTAACATGCTGTACACATTCTCACCTCAGAGGCAGGTTTCAGGACTAACTGTCAAAGAACTGGTTTCATCTGTAAAGACCAAATAAGCACTGCAGTAAAATGTTTCCTTATAAACAGTATTTCAGTTATTTTCACACAGTCATAGTAAACACAGCTGTGTTGTTTTAGTGCTCAGATCTTCATAGATGCAGTCAGCAGAGACTAATGTCTGACCATCAAACTGATCTATGTGTCAGCTGTAGCTGTTTTAAAGGTTGTTCAGGGGATGCTGGGTCACAACACTGTGAAACGTTCCCTTCAAGTCACACTTTTTACAGCCTTTTTAAAAATGGAACGACAGGATGTGACAAAGTAACCAGTAAAAACCAAAAAGCCTTCATGTCACAGTTGTGTTGTATCAGCAGCGTGTTTAGCTCTTTGTTCAGAGATCACATCAGCCTGTTTGCTTTGTTAACACTTTAAATGACTGGACCTTATTATTCGTAGGATATGAGGATGAACGTCAGTCAAAGGGAAAACAGAAGTTTGATGGTTCATCGATGGTAACATTTGACACTCCCAGCATTTCTGTGTTGGATACTCAACATGTGGTCTGATCTCTCTGTATGTCAGAATCATCAATCAGTCATGTTGTAGGGGTTAACATGTTCACCTACATATGAAACTGGTTTGACTGGGAGAAACCCAGTCTCTGGTGGTCAAACCTTGCACAGTGGCCGTCCCAGATAAATGGAAAGGTTGTATGAGGCGGTGGGTGCCAAATGAAACGTGGGTCCATCTGCCGTGGCCCCTGAAAGAAGGAAGCAGCTGAAAATACTTGATGACATATCATCATGGTTTCGTTTTGCCTCCTCAGGTCTCAGATACCAGACCCTGAGGAAACATGGGTCACTTAAACCTCACAGCCTAGAGTCAGGTTAGTCTGCGCAAAAGACAACAGGAAGTTTATACAGTAGCAGCTGAAGGGACAGCATCCAGGAAGCTCCACTGGGGTACCACTGTCACTATGACCAATTATGAAACAGTTTTTCTACCACTCAATGATCTATTTTTGACCCCAACCCTCACGTACTCAGCAGCACAGACCCTGACAGAGAGGGCGGGCGACACGTGGATGGGACTGTGCCACTGTTGGTCATTTTCTGATAACTCATCCAAAACTCACTTTCTGGTGTTACTGGATCAGTATGGAAGCTGTGATCAGACCACAGGTTACAGGTAACCAATGCAGAAACTCTGGTAAGTCCAAAGGCCGACTTCTAAACACTGAGCAGGTTATGAGGTTTCCCAGTTATTCTAGATGTGCCTACAGAGTAGCAGTGACGTGAAGAGTGAAGCTGACTGATGATCTTGGTGTCAGGAGAACAGCTGATAACACTTACGACACAAAGTAACTGATGGATGTGCTTTCAGCAGCCAGAGGCACAAACGTTTGCTTTAAAGAAGAAGAAGGTGCTGCTGTGAACTGTAGCAACACTACATGATGAAGTTAAATGGAAACTTTGATGGACAACTGTAATACTGCTCCTCAGTGACTTTGTGTACAATAGTGTGAATGAACCACAACTTTAAAGGATCCATCAACAACATGTTTTTACTGTTCTGTCGACTTCCTGTCTGAGCTCTGAGCAAACTGTGCTCCAGTAAGACTGGACATGCTGCCCAACGTCCAATAGTGAGCTCAGGAACAGCTGAAACTACAGACAGTATAAAAGGTGGACACGATGTGACGGAGGGGCAGGTCTGACAGTGAAGCCGCGCGTTCATTGGCTAACAACTTGTGAATCACACGTCTTTAGCCAATGAGCATATCACAGATCATCCTTTTAAACACAATACTGTTATTTTTAATTCAATGCAACCTGAAATGAGTAACTGAGCATATAAAACCCAGCAGGAAGTCTTTACAGACGTCACATGACAGAGATTCATGTTCTCCACGTCTACAGGACCAGAACCAACACGTTCTCACTCCCAAAGCGTAACATTTTACGCTAGGTGACAAATCGTCAACATATTACGTTTTCGGCTACCCACCACATTCCTAAATGACGACCTCGGAAAAATTAGGAAATATGAGAACCATATGGACTCAATCTACACATGTTCGCTCTTTTTCTTCAAATAGCTTAGAAACACGCTATTTAACATCATTACAGTCCTGGTTAAGCTCAGGAAAAAGGTTATGGTTAGGGCTAGAGATACGGTTAGGTTTAGGGCTGGAATACAGGGCTGGAACGTCTATTACCGCGGGAGCGTCATTGCACTGGATTTCGGCCATAACCCGCCGCGTACCATAAGAACGCTGAAGGTCTCCTTTCGCGTTCCTCAGGAACGCCGCGGGACGTGACAAAACGTCGGCATGTTGCGCCTCGGGAGTGAGAACGGGCTCCCAGAACACAGTTACAGTTCATTTCTATGGCACCTGTCAGGACGAACACCACACAGCGATGCCAGATCATAGAAACAGAAGTTCACCGAACACAAAGCTGAGTTTTTGAGCACAGATCGAGAGCTCAGAGGACGTTACTGCAAACACAACTCTCACCATCTGTTGGTCATTTAAGATGCAGGTTTAAGGCACTTCTGCGCTGGCTGCAGGTTTCAGACCTGGAGTCCATGTTTTATACTGCCTGTGGCTGAAACTGGGCAAGCCCACGCGCTGAGCACATGGTCTTACTACTGACAGTGCAAATGTGTGACACAGTAAAGCACCTGGCTGCTCACTCGAGTACAGTCGAAAAAGAAAAGTTCATTTCTACTTTAATTAGAAATAAACGAACCATCATGGCTCCTCCTGTTATACTTTGGCTCCTAAACAGAAACCCTCAAAACTACGGATGCTCTTAAATCTTATCACATATAACGATCTTTGAAGACCAGAAATCCAAAGTGCTGTATGAAGAACTAAACGCACGTGTAACAAAGTCAATCAAGTGTCTGAGTCGTAACACTTATCCTGTCAAATCATCTCAGTGTCAGCTCTGCTCATGTTGTTATGCAAAGCAGCCCTTTAATGTTTGCATTAAGCTTATTGATGAGATACAGAGAGAATGGTTTGTTTCTTTGTGAGTCTGGCTGCTTCATATGGTAACCAGCATGCATGTCTCTGTAATCAAGGACAGATCAGGATTTTATTCATTTCTTCTTTAAACTGCCCAAGGCAACAAAAAAAAGACTCTAACAGAGAATAACTTACATTTGGCCCAAAACAAACCCTCATCGTTAGGAAGCTGACCTGGCTCTGTGCTGTCTCCTGTCAGGTATCATAAACGGACAGATGTGCCAATTTCTTCAGCCGTGGGTCACTTGCATCTTGTATGGCGTTTAATATGCAGCTCTACATGTGTGTCAGTGTTTGTGAGTGGCATGTGCCAGATGTACTGGGGTCACTGGAAAGCTTGGTGGAAGCGGGGCAGTGTGGTTGGAGTGCTCAGGTTGGATATGAAGGAGGAGGAGAGCCCCTGAAGGGGACTCTCAGCAGCCTCTGAGCCCGTGGCAGCCTGAGAGGGCAGCTGAACTAGAGATGCAGGCTCTTCATTGGGTAGAAAAGCGACACCCTGCCCCCCACTGCCCCCTACCTGATTGTATGGAGGCCCATTGAGCGGCAGGAAGTTGAAAAGCTGTGAAAAATCCATTAGAGAGGAAGATAAGGCCAAAGAGTCGCCTGCAGGTGCTGCTACTGATGTGGACATTTTGGACATCTCCTCATTGGCTTCCTCCAGCACACCCACTTCAGGGACCAACTCAAGTTTGGAGGAGGAGAGTTGGGCTTCTTGGGCTTGAGAGGCAGAGGATGGCATACTGCTCTGCAGCTCCATCAGGTAGGTCTCCAGGTCTCCCTTAAGATTCTGCTCCCGCTCCTGTGAGGACACGGCGTATGAGGTAAAGTTGGAGCCCAGTGGGTACTTTAAAGAAAAGGGATGCGTGGGACTGGAGAAGGGCTCGGTGTCGAGGACGGGGCCTGGGTACACGTTCAGCTGGTGCAGTCTTGGCGTCAGCATTCCCGGGAGCTCCCCCTTCACGCTCCCAGACGCCAAGTCGTAGACGACGGGCTCCAGCGAATCGCCTGGCTCAGTTTTAACCCTCAGCAGTTCCCGAGCGTGGCTCTTTTTCATGTGACGCGTCAGATGGTCCTTCCTTCCAAAACGCTGGGCGCAGTACTGACAGAGGAAGTCTTTGCGTCCGGTGTGCACCACCATGTGCCGTCGCACGTCTTTACGGGTGTAAAACCGCCGCTCGCAATGCTCGCAACGATGTTTTTTCTCCTTGGTCCCACCGGAGGACTTGCCAGCATGTGTTTTGAGGTGTTCCAGAAGAACCCCAGTGCTGGGGAATGGCTGCAGGCACACTTGGCAGGTGAGGTCTCCACTGTTGGCAGCGTGGAGGGCAAGGTGGCGTTTGAAACCCAGCTTCGTGTTGTAGCTCTTGCCACACTCTTGACAAGTGAACGCCTCCTTGTGTGGATCGTGAGTATGTAGGTGATTCTTTAAGTGATCCTTACGGTGGAACATTTTCTCACAGTATGAACACTTGTGGTTTTTTTCTGGCGAGTGAGTTGCCATATGCCTTGGAACACAGACACATTCTATGAGCACTCACAATTGTTGCAATCATGTTTAAAGTAGGCATGCTTTACACATAAACACAACAAACTAGAATTCAACACATCAATCTGACCACTACACAACATTACGTTACCAAAAGTGCAAAGAGAAAGCAACATGTTGCAGCCTGTTATGTACTGCTGCTTGTCTGTACCGTAGCAGCTTGTATTTGGAGACGAAAGCCTTGGTGCATTCAGGGTGGGAGCAGCGGTAGGGTCTTTCTCCTGTGTGAGAGTATGAGTGCACCTTCAACTTCTCCAGACTGTTGAAAGCCTTCTGACACTCCTGACAAGGGAAATTCTTCTTCAGCTTGCCTTCTGCTCTCTTGCGCCTCCCCAGAGGTACTGCAAGCTTGGCTTTGTCCAGGACTTGGTCACGGTGGCCCTGGGTTCCCGTGGCCATGGCACCCTAAGGCTGACCAGCTACATGGACCGATGCACGGCGCCGGACTAGTGCTGATGTGATTATTCTGTCCAGTTTTATGTGTTCAGCACTGCCTGGACACAGGGGTCTGTGAGAGAGGGAGAGAGAGGGCAGAAATATCGTCAGAGCTTCAGTGTAGGACAAGGCTGTAACACGGCAGGAGCTCCAATAAAGACCTGCAGTGAAAATACATCAACATAGAAACGGGATAACTCCTGCAAATGATGTCAAACTGGTGACTAATAAGCACATTACACTCATCCTGCAAAATACTGGGGAAAGATGCACCCAGCTCTCAGCCTATGGCAGCTGGAATAGACTCCAGGCCCCAGTAAGCCTCAGCTGGATAATTGGACCCTCTTCCTGTCCCCCAAATCAGAAACCATGACCAGGTTAGATTGGTAGCCCCTTCTGAACTGAAAACATGGATGCAAATTGAATTTCTTTTGGATTTGCGCGTCTCAAATGTATACAATGGACTACTCGTGATAATTGGTTCATTTAAAATAACTGGTTTCCGTGTCCAAACCTTACTGCAAATATTTTCACTAAGGTTGAGGTAGATGTTAGGAAAGCCATTCCAGAAGCTGAATGTTGGCCCACTTTAGCTATTTAGAAATTCTGATGAGCCAATCGTCTCCAAGCTGCTGGTTTGAGGTGAAGCTGAAAATCTGTCTTTATTATTCCATCGTATGAGCTCAGTGCTCTTGGGTTTGAAAGCCTTACTTCTCCAAACATACGTCATCGTTGCGGCCAAATACCCCATTTTGCTTGTCCATATGGGGAACTGGAAATTTCAGCTCGGGCTGAAGACGGTGATTTTGGAGCACAAGCTTCTTTTTGTTGCCATGGAGATCCAAGATTTGAGCCTTGGTGGTTCCTGTGTTGTTCCTGAACTTCCCAACCAACTTCCTCTCATCTTAAAGTGATAGTTTGGGTCTTCTTCCAAACTTGGGCAAAGTGGTGACATACAGAATAATTCGCACTGATATAATATCGTTAGAATGGTGAAGATTTAGGAACATGCAGCTGTTTAGATCCAAGAGACCTTCCCAACACGTGTAATTCTTCCCCTTAGATGGTGACCGAGCTCCTTGGACAGTACTGGTCAGTCGAGTCCTTTATGCTGGCAAAGGGACACGACCTGTCACTTCATCACTAGCATCAAGTTCTGGGCCTGATGGGTTCTGTCGATGCAAATCCAAAACAAATTCAAACTTGTGCACTCAGTTCTTGCTTGTTAAAGCCATCAAAGACGTGTGCTGTACAATCATGTCTAAGTGCACAGAAACCTCTGAGCACAAAATCCTTTATTTAAATATTTTAGCAAAGAACCACCCAGTGGGCAGCCCTTTCATTGGCCACAGTGGCACCAGATGGCTGAGCTGGGATCAATAATTTAACTATAATTGGATCTAATAATTGTTTTATGTGGAAAAAACAACCAGTGGACCTGAAGCCTGGCAAAGTGGAAAACTGTCTCGTGGTTTGACTCATCTGAATTTTTAATTCTTTTGTGTCCTACGGGCTAAAGATGAGTCAGACCATTGGTCTTTTTAACGAGTGCAGAGTTTAGCAGTCATGATGTGAAGGGGAATTAGTGACATGGCAAGAGGAACTTTCATACACGTCTTTTTCAGGGACAGCTTTGTTTGTTATACCAAGATAATCCAACTGGACCGTCTGTCAGACTTGTCTACCTGCAGTCCAGGTATTTAAAAACATATCAACAGCGAGCAGCAGCTGAAATCCTACGTTAGACAAAAATGGGCCAAGATTTCGATTTAATCACAGGTGATGTAACAAACAGGGCACATGGTCTTATCCAACCTTACAGGAATATATATGGATCGATCTAATAACACTAATAACGTGACACACATGCATGTGTACATTTAAAAGGATGTAACATAAAACAAAGATGTGGTTATTTTAGTTTATTTTCTTTAAACAGAGAAAGGTCTTATTTCTGTGTGCAGGCTCCAGCAGCTAAGCCCTGAACATGAAGCTCCTGCTGATGCTGTGAGGTGCACTGAATCCTTCAGGATCAGCAGCTAACACCGACAGCCCTTCTCTTTCTAACTACACAATCTCACACACCATCACTTCCCCAGTTAACCAACCTGCTGGAATCTACAAAAAAGAAATAAAATCTCCTTAGTGTGAAATGTTTAACTGTGTATTTCAAACTATTAAAACTATTAGTTGTACATTCTATTCAAATTCTATTCTAAATTAGTTTTCAAACACAGAGAAGAGTTGTTCAGTGCACACAAACAGATCACATCTGGCATTTTCATCCATTTTTGACCAAAGAAAAAATACAATTATTTTATGTCAAATTAAATTTTGCCTGATCTGCAAAGTAGTTCACGCAGCACAATAAAACCTTGACAATAAAAACATTGATAAATAAAGACACTGCATCACTCCTTGTACCTCTATAATTACTGTAAACACATTTAGCATTTTGTTTAACTTATGAGCTGAAAATATTCACTAAATGATTCCAAATAACTACACAGAAAATGCTCGGTTATTTTGTAATAATTAAGAATTAGCAGAAGAACTTTTAATGTTTATAAAAAAAACAAAAACCATAAGAAAACATCAAAAAAGGGAAAAAAGGACATTTTTATGTATAACTGTTTATTTTAGAGAAGTTACAAATGTATCTACTTAGTATCACTATTCTTTAGCAACATGATTAATTATTACCATGGTCACTACTTGTTCCTGTTTGGTAAAACTTTTAAGCTTTTATTCATGTTTTAGTGAAAGTGTGGAGAGATTCTTCTGTGTACAGAGTGCCTGAGTGTTCTGAAAGGTGCTTTTAAATAAAATGTATTATTATTATTATTCTTTAAGCAGCTCTTTGCTTTAATCTCTGAAGGTCTGAATGAATTTATACTCTTAGAATAATCTTTATTCTTAGAAGCAAAAGGAAACAGACCAAATGTGTCTCATTCCAACACAGAACTGTTCATCTGTAAATGAAAAACAAATGAAATCGTTTCAGTCTCATCAGAAACAATAAACCGCTTTAAACTTTGTACAGAAACAAGCAGAAAGTTACTTCTTGGCTGATTTTAGGATCCGGTTATATCCGTATTTAAATCCTCATAATTTCTCTAAACTTTAATCAGTTCCTAATCTGATGACTCGGCTTGGACAGCGGTGTCCTCTGCAGTCTCTTTAAGCAGCACGTCGGAACTACAAAGCGAGCGTGGGAGAAGCGTTCACGCAGACTTCGGCTTTAATGTATGTAAGACAGGTACAGACAGACTGGCTCCTGATTGGACAGCACCGAACAAGTCTGTGGAAGCTTCACGTTCACGGCACCGTAGCCTGACATGTGAGCGGCTGTGCACGGTGGAACAGCGACAGGCACACATTTCATTAACAGCCCACGAAGTGTGAACCTGCCACACAAATCACACTGAGCCACAGTAACTTTAGAGACACTACGCGACACGCTGGGTCGCTCGGCGCCGCCGCGTTAGTTCTCCCTCCATTTTCTACTTTATTGACAAGAAACGGAGCCGCTTGTTTTTGGACGCGAGCTTCTGTGTCACACTGTGATCAATAGCGCGGAGGGGAAACGCCATACAGTCCACGGCCGCGGACAAAATGTCAGTGCGGCCGCTGCACGCCTGTGTCGCCGCTACGGTTTGTGAGGAGATGCTTGAACCGACACGAATGTTGACACTGCGTGCGCTAAAGTGAGATCCACGGGGAGGAAAATGAACATTATTTGTCAGCGCGCCTGTTCGTGACGGGGCTCACGGCACTGCCATTGTTATTATATTAGAAAAATAAACCAAGTGTCCAACTTTGCTCAAGTATCCTTCACACCACTGCTTCGTGGGATCTTTAATATTCGTGAACACGCACCGTCACACTAATATCAGCAGTGACACCGCTGATTTGACATTTCTCAGTCCTTGTGCCCTGCCTTAGTTTTCTCTGTGGTCCAAAGCTGGGTACTGATTAACACTAACTTTTTCCCCAGCTCACCCCGCTCATAATTTAAATAACCCCGATATTTTAATTGAAGAACTGAGTAACCGTTTCCTTATTTTACACCAGACTTACCCCGGACGCTTTATCATCCTTTCTGTTGAGTTTTTCTTCACTTTCAACTATTTTCCGAATTTTTAATAATTTTTTTCTCATATTTTTTGCGAGACGCGGCGGGCCTGAAAATTGTTTGCTTTCTCCTCTTTCGAGCAGCCATTGTGTATGCGCTGCGATGCAACCGAACTTGGAGTTAGTCACACCCATTTAAAGTTCCGACAAGGCGCTTTTTGATTTGTGAAAGGCGCTGTCGTTTTCACTTTAGTGTCGCTTACATTGTCTTTAAATAAAACTCAAAAATTGGACTCGCCGTTAATCCCCGAAACTTCTTTTCGCTCCTGTTTTGCAAGGATACGAAACCTAACAGTTAGGGCAGGAATCCTATTGGCTCGCTGGATTATCTTTCTACGTTGCAGGTTTTGACAGCGTCTATTGGCTCACATTGACGTCAGTCCTCGGTGACGTCGCGGTGCGCCGGTGCAGTAACCAGAGGCGGCGGTAAGGTGACAGAAGGTTGCGTTATCAGTTAGCTTCATGTTGCTCGGAGTCGCGCTAACGTGGTTTTTGAGTCTAGCCTAGTTGAGTGTTTTCTAAAGCTGGCTCGTCTTCACTGCAGTGGATGCTAGCTGCTCCACGGGTCGCTAGGCTAACGCCGGGTTCTAGAAGGCACGTTGTAACATTGTGTCGCCGTGTTCAGGTGATGGTGAGTATTCCACTCACATTCAGAGCTGCTACAAAGTTTCTGCACCGTTTGGAGACATTAAAGAAGCTTTAGCTTGATACAATATAGAAACGTACTGGGGGAGGACGCTCAGCTGCACCAACCGTCGTTAGGAAATCTGCTAATTAAATAACAAGTGCTCTTTTTAACGCTTCCGATCTCCAGGAATCATTAAAACTGTGTCTGTTTACAATAGAAAGAACTGCTTTTTAATTCGGCATATATTTCAAACTACAAACATCATTCAGCTTTATTGAAGTTTCACCTTTTTATTTCACTCATTTGTTTAATCCTAAGAAAAACTGTAAACATGATATAAAAGTCAATCTCCAAACTGATCACAACCTAACCTTTGATATCCCCAAGTTGTAAATCGACCTGTGGAATAAATAATGATGTGTTTCATCAAAGTCGAACTTGACAGTATAAACATTTTGGGGCGTGTATTACAGTAAAATGCATTGGAATGATTTCTTGGTGCACAATAGTAAATAAGCACAACCACGTGTCATGTGGAAAATGTAACAATTGAAAGTGAGCTAATGTGTATTGATCTTTAAATGTTGCCCACAATAACAGTGGAGTGTTGATATAGTAGCTCTGAAATGCCTGGTTCACTGCAAGACAAACATCCATCATACATCACAATGTCTGCCACTGAAAAAGGAAAAAACGGACTTTGAGTAGGGCAAAAGTTATGTACGTATCTGCCTTACTGTGCAGTCACTGTGTTATCATTATTGCAGTTCAGTTAACTAATTCTAGTGGACATGGACACAGATGATGGATCCAAACAGGGAAGCCAGCGGCTCACGTCTGGTTGTATAGATGTCCGTATTTCTGTCTAGTCTATGGTTTCATGTTAAAATGCTGCCTGGAGTCACAAAGAGAAGAGAGAAAAACTAGCCTGTTTCTTTCCATCCATACAGATTCAGATGGATCAAAATGCGCGGAAAGTTCGGAACCAGGACATTAACCCCTGCATCGAAGTAAGCTCGCCGTCCGTCACATGCTGCGCTGTGTCGGCTGTGTGCCTGCTGCTGGGACATGAGTGTTGCTGGTTTCTAATCCTGTGCTTTGAAATACTCCTTTTCTCAGGAGAGTGACGACTCCCAGAAGTGTCTGAATGCCTACAACTATGATAAAAGCATGTGCTCCACCTACTTCCAGAGATATAAGAACTGTAGGAAATACTGGGTGAGTGTAACGTTTTCAAAGATCTTGAAAGATCTTCATCCTTGATGCTGCAGTGGTGACACCCACTGGATGTAATGAGTAACACATGTTTGCCAGCAGTATCAGTGGTTTTGGTATCTGATCGACACTAACAGGATGGAATCGATGCTTTAGCTTGTTTCTGTCCTAAGTTCGGCTCCCGCTCTTCAGGAAGCTGGCACGCCTGTGCAAACACCTCCTCTCGTGCAGGCTGCGCTCCCTCCTCCCTGATCGGCTGTGATTAGCCGTCCTCTGGTCACGTGACTCAGCAGCACTGAGCAGAAGCATGCAGGCTGCAGTGAGTGAGAAAAGCTGCTTTACACTGTAAACACGACGGAAACATCACCAACTTCAGTAAAGACATGAAAGAGTAGAAAACAGAGCTTTGTCCTGGAGCACACGGAGAAAGGGAATCCCTCAGACAGACTCGGACCCCCGGCACAGAGTTCGGTACAGTTTCATTAGGTCAGAGCACCTGCTACCAGGTCCTTTTTTCAGCACCTACTCGGCCGGGGTTCCCAGCAATCCAAGGTCAGCCCAAAATGTGACACCAGCAGATGGCATGCCTCCGATTGGCTGGGCAGGGACGTCACTCGATGAGTCATCACAGCGTCTCCTTCACAAAACTCAAAACTGACATTTTTTAAACCTGGCAACTAACATCGCCATGGTCCCCGAGCCTGACCATGCTACAGGCCGAGCAGCGGGTGTATCATTGGCTCAACGTCCGTCTTTGTTGTGGCATATTACATACTAATTATATCACGGGATGCTGTTGTGTCGCCATGACAATAACGACACAGGTCAGGTGGTACTCGACTGTAATGAAAACCAGTCAGTCGAGTCGTGGCGAGTTGATCTGAGTGGATGCTGATGGAAACGTGGATTAACACTCATGAAGTCTCATATCTACAAATGGACATCCTGCACTTTTAGGGTGGTCACTATACCCTCATAATTATATCGCCATATTTCAAGGAGCCATAATTCTGTTTGTAAGGATCTCAATGACTGTTTGATCACTGAGTGCAGCGAACAGCATGAAGGACATCTTAGTCTTTTCATAAGCGCCGTGATCAGTGACCATTCAAAATGGGAATATTTGCCACAAGATGGCAGCAGTATGAAGAGCAGTCGTATCTCGTGTCACATCAGGTTGGCACATTTCTCAGTTGCTCTTATGACCGTAGAGGGATTTGTGTGTCTGGGATCAACTGGGAATCTTTCAGTAGGCTAACCTGTAAACCAGTACACCATGGAGCCAGAGTGACATGGCATCAGTCAATGTCAGCACTGAAAGCAGCCTGCTGTTGTTTCAGCTCCAACTGTGAAGTAAAGGAACAACCTCCCTGCTCGCCATAGTGAACTTCAGAATACTGTCACAGCAAAGCCGTGCCACTGTTTATCATTACTGTCACACGGCAGTGGTCACATGACTAATCTGTTTACATCTGGGTCACACATCACCAGCTGTTAGTGTGTCCTCCTCACATTCCTGTGTGTGCAAAGAAAAGGCCACCAAACGGCTTCTCTTAGTATTGGCTCACATCAACACGCAGCGATAGCTCAGTAGGTGAGTGGTTGCCCCTTGATCAGAAGGTCGGGGTTCGAATCCACTGAACGGCTACCCTGAGGTACCCCTGAGCAAGGCACCGTCTGCACACACTGCTCCCCAGGTGCTGCACTGGTGGCTGCCCACTGCTTCACTGGGTGAATGGGTTAAATGCAGAAGAGTAACACATTATCATTATTATTATTATTATTATTATTATTATTATTATTATTATTATTATGACTATAATGTAATGAACTTCAGCCTCCTGTCAAGTTCAGACTCCACAGCAGAAGTGTTTCACACAGGTAACTGTGTCCTCTGTGAGCGCTGATCTGAATGTAAACCTGTGGTCAGTTTGTAAAGCTGGAGGATATTTGCTGAAGTGCTGTAAAGTGTTTGGAGCTGCACCTTATAAAGTGGGACACAACAAGCCCTCTGCTGTCCCCGTCACAGGTTGAACTCTGATACGTGTGCTGTTCTTGTTTCTTTCATGTCCAGCGTTGGGTTTGAGGAGCGTGGTCAGTACAGCGCGCTGACGCTGAGGCCCAGCCTGAGGCGCTTCACTTATGTTTGTGCTGAAGCCGTGTTCCTGCTGTCATCTGCAGTTTCAGCCGTTTGCTGGTTGTTGGAACAGTTTTGTGAGCTTTAGGCTGAGTTTCTGCCCTTTCTGGAAAAATGCGTTTGTCTTTAAAAAGCGATTTACTGATCAGCTTTAATCAAACTGAAATCAATTTGAATCAGGAAATGATTTCAGTTGCTTACAGTTTACAGCAGCACTGCCACGTGTGATTTGAAATGCATTGTGGGATACCTGTTCATCATACCTGGCGTTAGGATGGACCTGTCTTAAACACGTAATGGATTGATGAAATGCATCAATTAATAATTCTGAATTGATGATTTAATAATTTCAGTTTGGCACTCAGAGCCCTCCATGATGTCATTGTGATGTCATCGAGGTTATTTTCTCAGACCCACTGTGACCTTTAACCTTTACAGCTACAGGTTACACGAGCGAGCCTTGAGCAGTCACACTGACTTGGTTAGAAGGTGTCGTGCTATTTATTCAGCCTCCATCATTAGCAGGTTGCTGCTCTGATGAATATCTGATGTGTTTTCTTTGGTTGGTCTTTTGTGTTGCAGCACGACATCATGGTGCAGAGGAGACGAGATGGTGTGAAACCTGACATGCCCACTGCTGCAGAGAGACTGGAGATGCTTACTTCACTGGGAGGCAAACCATACTAAGAGTGAGCCCAGTCACCTGCACACTGGGAAGAGCAGCTGTGGTGGAGTCAACACTGCAGCTCTGTGCTCCACAGACTCGCCTACTCAAACCCAGCTCATCACAAACTTGGAACAGTTTTACTTTTCATGCTTTTAGCTGCAGACTTGGTGCTGTTTAAGGATTTGACAGTAAAGATTCAATAGAAAAACACAATTTCAACCTAAGGTGAGCACAGGTGTCTTTGGATCATGTTATTGCTTATAAAAATCCATATTTATTATTTTATTACTCACGACACTGTGGACTGCACACAGCTGGACCAGGTGTGGGTTCACTGTTTTCAGTGATACCTGCTGATCTCTGACCTTTGACCTGCAGGAGTTTCACAGCATAGGTTACCTCGATGAAGTGAACCGCCTTCATAGAACAACAA